AAATCCAAATCCAAAACTGGAAACCAAGTAATATTCTAACCAATAACATTTTTCAATTATTTAAATGTTTAAAGAACTTTTTAGTCTAAGTATTAAAAATAGTAAACAATCTGAAAATTACAATATTAAACTTGTAATAATCTAATTGCTTTGAATGAAAAGGAGATTTATTATTTATCAAAAACAAGCCTAATGATACAAAGTTATACTAAAAAGTAATTTTATCTTTAAAAAAACACAATATAATATTTATAGATCAAATAATTAACAAAAATACAAAAACAATATTAATCTGAAAAATTATTCAAATTTTTTCAAATAATAATAAATGATTAATACTATTATAGTTTAATAAAATTCAATTAATTTTATAAATAAATATAATATTCTAAATAACAAATGACAAAGTTGAAACTAAAAAGAGCAAGATAAAAGATTTTTATCAAGTAACTTAAACAAAAACTAATATCAATAGAAATAAAAGATCTCAAATATAGAAGAAGTAAATAGATAAATTTTTTGATAAAAAAATAAAGAAAATCCAGATTATCAAGCTTTTCAAATAAAGGTTTACAATTTGAAAACAGTATTCAAACTAGATACAACTAAATTTCAAAGAAGTATAAATGTTATCCAAAAAAAGTTTAATAAAAAAACAAAAAATCTATTAGATATAATAAATTTTTTAAAAGGCAATAAAAGATCAAAGATTAAATTTTTAACATATAATATTCTTAACTAATGTTTGACTCTTAAAAAAGCAAATAAATCAGAAATTCTAATTAATATATATGTCTTGAAAAATCAAGTTAAAAAAAAATTAGAATATTCCAATAAACAAAAGATTATTAACAATTATATTGTGATAATAAAAATAGAAAATCCAAAAGTATAAATACTTAAAAAATATATTCAATCTTCAAATTATATACAAGTTCTTACAAAAGAATATAAAATTAACAAAGAAAGCAATTTTTAATAGTCTTATTGCTTCTATATAAATGAATTATATAAAAAAGCAAAAGATCAAATATTAAGAATAAAAGCCACCTGATTATAAGAAAAAGAATCAAATCTAGAACAATTCTTTTAAGCAGAAGTATACAATTAACCATTTATACTTCAGATAGAACTTGTTATAATTATTTTAATACCTTTAGTTATATCTTAAAAAAGTTAGATAAAAATATTGTCATATATTGTTTCTATTTTAAGAGAAAAAATGAAAGAAAGAAAGAAAGAAAAAAAAAACAAACAAAAAAAAAGAGGAAATACTTTTAGCATTCTCAGCGCGTGTTCTTCTAAAATATGCACGTGACCAATTGATCGAGAAACGAGAAATGTGCAATACTGATAGTGACATCGTGCTCAAGGATCTTTTTACATATTATCAACAGTCAAATTGTTGTACTTGAATAATACCGTTTCCAAAGTGCAAGAGAAATCAATCACTTCTCGTCTCTTTAGCATCGTGGCTCTTCTCACAATTAGGTCGACCTTAAACACCATGACTGCATCTCCATCTTCTCTTGTTTCTACGGTCACCATCCTTCTGTGTAGTCAAAATCGCTCCATCCACGAAAGACAAGCGAAAGTAGATGTTGGGACCATTGATCCTGCAAAAAAAAAAACCTTTACACTGCAAGTATGCCTTAAGCTGGTTTGACGTCATCATGAATTCTCTCCGAGGGCGATCAATAAATAAAAATATTTTGCTCCATGCATTTTTATTTGATCGACTTTCTTTTGTTAGTGGGTTAAGGAAAAGAATAAAAATATGACGAATATCATGTCTTCAAATAAGCTATACAAATAATAATATACTATATATATAAATTCTTCTTGGTCAAAAAATTTCTCTATCAAACAATCCATGAATCAAAAATTTATCCGTTTTCTTATTGTCTATAAGACTCAATGTACACCGCCGTATGATAAGCTTTGAGATTGAATTACTTAGAGATCTCGATAATTAGATATTCGAGGAGAATTTGCAAACTTTATTTTCAAACACTCTAAACTCAATCTTTAATATACCGTGTAAAATAAATTCATTAACGAATCGACCGATATCTCGATATCATAACGAGCAAATACTGTTACCACCCATAATAGTTTGTCTGGTTCAAAAGCCCGGTGTATTATAAACCGTTGAATTTTAAATTTTTAATTATCAAGAAATAAAAGTCGATGATTGCGTAATTAAACCATCCGCGTAAATTTTCATTTAAATTTTATATAAAATTTAATAGGTTTATTTATTCATCATTTGAATCTCAATCTTGATTCGATCTTTATTTTTACAAATACTTTTTCAAAAATATTTTCTTTATATATATATTATAAAGATCCAACAACCAATTTTTAAATACTTGTTTGAATTCGATTAAGGTAAAAAATAACAAGGCTTACTATTTACTGTATCTGCAAATTTTGTTGTTTGGTTATACATTTAAAAAAACTATATTATTTATTCATTAATTTTTATAGTTATTTTAAACAAACAATAAGATCATTATAAAACTAGAATAATTAAAATTCGACTTTTTTTAAATAACACATTGCAAATAATTGAAATCGTATTATTAATTAAAATTTTTTTTTGTTATATACACATGTTATTTTTTTTAAAAAAATGAAATTAAAATAAAATAAATACACAAGATAATAAAATAATAAAATTAAAAAAATTATTATTATTAAATATATTATTAATATAATAATGACAAATATATTTTGAAATAAAGTCTTCTGGTTTAATAGTTGTTTATAATAAAAAAATAATTTATATAATTTGTTTTTGATTTTTTTTTCTTGTAATCAAACAAGTATGTACTGTTTATTAAATTTTTACAGAAAACAAATAATATATTATGTATTGCATTGTATAAACTATTCTACTGTCTTGACTACTTATTTTTAACCAATGTCTTTAGATGTGACTTTGGAAATAAAAAAGATTACTCTTTTTAAGATTTACTCACTTATGAAGTTTAATTTTAAAAACTAAAGCCCACAATTTATTACTACAATTTATCTAAACAAAATCCAAACTATTTTTTATATTTCTGATTATTTTTTTTCTTTTTTAATACATTTCCAAATTGAAATCTTCTATACTATCTTTTTGCAACTTTTTTAGACTTGTGTTTTTTTTTTCTTTCTTTCTTTCTTTCATTTTTTTTTTCTTGACGATTTAGGCATGTATCGTATCGCAGGCGACGCCAATTTTTTTTTGTTTTCAACATACATATGCGTGTTAAAGTTTCATTGTTCATGTATCCTTAATTCTTAAACGTTCATTCATTCATTCATTCTTCTGATGTGGTTGGTTGAAAGTTTTTGCAGGCGTAGTCGATTGAGCGTAATCAGATTGTGCACTGAAAATTTCGTTGTCTCAAAACATATTGGCATCCATATGATTTCCCTGAGAAGGGTCTTTCATGTGCTCCAAAAATTATCTTCCATTATACCTAACGTTTTGCGACCCGAAAAATAGCATTTTTTTTTTCGTAACAGATCAATGGTATGCAGCCTTATTTGGGGGATGTACTGTATGTATACACATATGTACATATGTATTCGTACGCAAAGTATGTCCCTGGCTAAAAATAGTCAAGGAAGTCGGGATCTGATGTATTGCACTCAAAAATCCATTGTTCAACGTTCCCTCGCAACTGTCTATTTCGCGCACTATTTTTGCATGAAATATATAGAGTATGAATTTCCCATTGTTTTCTCTTTTAGCATAAGGGTATTTGCCGCTAACCAAACTTGTACCTTGCGCATCCAGGAATATTTTCTTTGCTCTCGTCATTTGGGCCCATTTCCTTTGCTTTGAACTCTTGAATTTTAAGAGTCGAAAGTGCATTTTTCTTTTTGAACTTTTTATTCTGCTTACCCTTTTTGAACATGTGTATCCATCGAAACGTTAGATTCATGTTCTTCACACATGTATATGTGCCCAGGAATGACTGGCGTACCTACAATATTTCAGGCTTACGTGGTTTTCAGTGCAGGCGGCTGATCCAGTAATTATTCAATGACATGTCAAACTTTGGGTTTACTCAGGATGACCTTCTTTATTCGTCTCTTCTTCTAGAGAGTCGATTGTTTAAAAAAAAAAAAAAGTTTTTTTTTTTTTTTTTTCCTTCGGTCTTTTTTTTTTTTTTTTACACACACAATTGAAGTAAAAATTGTACATTATGATAAAGGGATTCTTGTTCGCGCGTTACTTCCTTTAAGGAAAATTTCTTTTCACATCAAGATTTCATTATGCTTGATTTGTACCACAAATGGAATTGACATCTCTGCTACCACGAAGAATTAATATATACCCATTCACTTTTAATATTAAATTTGAATATCCCGTTATCGATCTAAAGCAGCAGCGGAATTCAATTTAAGGAACAATTGATGATGTTAGGGAAACCTCTGGGCGCTCATGAATTTTAATGGAAACTTACATTTAGGGTTGGAAGGCTGTGCAGGAGCATTGTGTAATTGTTCGCATAAAAAGAAATTACCTGACAATAGGGACTTTCCAATAATGAACGGAAGGTAAAAATCCCGGTTTTAACTTGGGAGATCGACCATTGATGGACAAAGAAAAATTAAATAACGCATCATCGTGTAGGAGTGGCGAACAGTGTAAATGGGATCAAAAATGGATAAAATATTATAGGAATCTCTTATATATCATCAATATCATGTCCCCCCGAACATATCACCTCATGCATGTTATAAATAAAGTTAAGCAGTCATGTCCATTGTTCCAGTCCATTTGTGACAGTTTCACTGCCTGCCAATAATAAAACTAGTGTTCGCGTCGTTGATCAGGGAAATTTAAACATTTTAGTTCTCTTTGATCTCTATGGTGACATGAATGTCATGATTGTAAGTTATTGTTACCATGGTTCCTCTTTGATGCCCGGTTCTGGAAGAAGTGTAAAAAGAATACAAAAGGAACCACTAAATTCGAAAAAAAAAAAACGAACAAGGTAACATTGATGTGCACAATTAAAGAATGAAATACAAAGAAACTGACAATCGAACGATTACAAAAGGAATCTGGACATTGGATCACGTAATACGTGAAAGAATTGACATTCGACCATCCTACGTTCAATTAAAACAACTATGGAGATCGTCGTCCCGTTTGTGAAACGCACTATTGAAGAGTGAAAATTGGCCGCTCGCCTTCATCCACCATTTGGTGCGTATTGATTTGATTTTTTAGATTTCACACAATTTTCAATTGAATCAAACTGAGTCGATTTATTTCTCGATAAAAAACAACTTTTTTTTTTTTATTATTATTCGCTTTTTTTCCTTATTCTTATGTTTTCTTATTTTTTTTTTTTTTCTTTACAAAAAAAAAAAAAAAAAAAAACTCTCGTCACGTTAAAATATATCAAAATTCAGTATATGCAGAAAAAAATTATTCAGCCACAGATGTGCGAGCAAGTTGAGAGGAGATTGAAAAAAATTTGAAAAAGGTGCCGTTGAACCGACACAAAACGAAATACCGCGCATATTTGATGTAACTCGCATATGCTTGCGTGCAAAATAAAGAGGTAATCTTCGACTAGAAAAAGAAAAATATATATCAAAATGACGAACTAGGTAATTATACGCCAATATAAGTATAAACCATATTGGTAACGATTGATTATATACTCGCTATTTTTTTTTTTAAACGAAAATCGCTGAAGTTTATGTAATGATATGCGAATGTACGATCGTGTTAGTAACGGGTAGTTGCTGGATAAATAAAAAGAACAAAAACCCTTTAACAACCACTTTCCTACTTCATGAAATTCTAACGTCCGCTCTCCACCATAGTCGTTCTTTTCTGTCTTAATAAGAGCTGACCACCTTCGATCGCTTGTTCGACTTCTACTAATAGTCTTTCCCCCCATTCTGGTATGGCTCCTTTGGTTTCCACTCCGCCGGGAACGCTGTTGCTATTTGCACCATTCCAACGGGGAAACTTGGTGATGATGGCCTCGAATATCTCTAATTTTAGTTCTTCTTCTAGCGCTATCTGAAATTCGGTATGTATGCCATACAGTGAATATGTATATTGGTCTATCGCGTACTGAAGACAGGCTGAGGCGTGTAAAAGGGATTCAAAAAAAGGTTTCATCAAATGTGTTCTCGTGTTTCCAGTGTTGATTCGTTGGTCGTTGAAAGCGGCGGCCCCCGAAGACGGATAGTCACGAAATCCAGGAGTCCGAACGTCGTTATATCTAGGCGACGACGAAGTCTCTCCAGTATCGGGGTACAACGAGTATTCGTCTCCTCGACCTCGACATTGTTTTACCATCACCCAATTTCCTTCTTGTTCTTCCTTTAAAACTATGGTTTCATCATCAAACGCATCGCTCTCTTTTTCTTGCCACTCTCGACCTATCAATTGCCACGCACCCCTCCGAAGTTTTTCCACCACCGCGCTTCCGACCTTCTCCTCGTCCTCGCATAAGCTAATTCCCTCGTAGAGCATTTTACGAACCTGTGTCATCTTTGACGTACATCGGATGAACCAATCAACACCCGTACCGTCCGTTGGCGCAGCGTACGGAATTTTTGCCATGTTCTCGCGGAAGAGGCGCATGCGCCCCTGTTGGTCATACTTGCAGTGGTGCGAAAGAAAGTGCTGAATGGTGGTTGAGTTGAGTATTCCAAGAAAGAAGTAAGGAGGAAGCGGTGTAGTTTGCTTTATGGTGAAATAAATACACTATGCATATGCAAAAAAAAAAAAAGAAAAGAAAACGAAGGAATTTAAGATTAAGCTCGGGATACTCGTGTGGAGGTCGTTCAACGCGAATATGGAATTATGAATAAGCGTAAGTTTTTCTTCTTTTTTTTTACCTGGTTTGTCACGCAAACGCTATTTTCATCGATGAAGAATCGTTGCCTTGGCTATGAAAAATTAAGAATGAAAAATGTTAAGCTCATGCTAATTCTACTTTTCGTAAATTCTAATGTACTATATATATAGCATATGATATGATATGATATGATATGATATGATATGATATTGTAGAGAAGAAAAGGAAATATAGAGGGAAAAAATAATCCACAAAAAAATAATGATAAACAAATAAAAAAAAGTTTTTCCGAAGAAGGACGACCGTCAACTTCCTTATGAGGAAATATGAAAGTACCTGGTTCTTGGAGAAGTATCCATAGTTAATGGGATGTATGATCTTCGTGCGCACATCAATTCTATGTAAAAAGAAATTAAAGTTTAGTACAACAAGATAAAATAAATAAATAAAAAATGTTCCTCGTTGCCATTTTAGGCAAATGATCCCCACGCGCATTGTCGCAGTTGCAGGTTAAAAATGATGATGATAGTCTGGAGAAACTTCAAAAGTGCATCGAAGCAACTGAAAACCTCCTTGAATGAACCTTTGTTTCACTCAAGGTGCATGCTTGCATAGCTAATAGCAGTTAGCGCACAATTGACAATGCTAGACGAGCTTATTCAACTATTTTGTGAAGAGGACATAGGTACTTATTTTCATATTAAGAATAAATAAATGAATCGATGATTGGACCCGCAAAAAATCTCTACTCACCCGCATTTGCTGGTTCCACAATATGCGACTTCTCGTGAGGTCATGCCGGTCTGCAGGTGTTTTCTGGCCTCCTTGAGGTAACGCCAGAATTCGCTGTCCTCGCCAACCTCCTTGCGCACCTTTTCCACCGCGTCACGATCCACCATGATCAATGAGTACATGGATTTCTCTTGTTTGTCCGATCCATCTTTGTAAGAAGGTGAGAGGTAAGGTACATATGCTTCCGCGGGCGAGTTCTCCTTCTTCTCGAGGCGTAATTCGTCTCCCATTTTCTGCCAGAACTCGGCCTCTTTGCCGCCATTCTTGCCATTCCAATAAAACACCGGACGCAACCAAACCTTGCACACATCTTGACCAAATTTAGAATATGCCCATGAGGTACGAACAACGAGCGCGTACACGGGATTCGTGTTAGGGCCCCTGTGCCAAATTAAAGGATTACGTTCAAGCCACGTAGGCTTCATGCTTGAATGGTCGCACAAGGAAGGGAGATTTACAGTAATTGTGTCAAGGTAGGCACTCACAGCAGAAATCGGCATCAGGAAGGTGAACGAGAAGGAGTTGGTCGGCGATGGGAGCTGAGTGTGAGGGTAAGGTAGCGTTATCTTGTAGTGCATCTCCTTGTCAAACGAATTTAAGTTCGGGTCGAAAGTAGAGTAGGCCTGTAGTGTCTCCTGGAGGCTTGCCTTGCGGTTCATGTAACGTAGGAAGCGGATGGATGAGTCAACGACGTTGGACGGTCGAACGAGGGATGTGCCATTCGACAGAAGGGGCTCACTCCGACGACGCAAGCGAAAGATTAAAGAGTCGGTTTGTATCTTTCGCCACACCTTGAACGGTTCGAATTGAAAGAACTCCACGAGATGACATTTCTGCCACAACCATGCTCTAATTTTTTAACAAAAAAAAAAAAGTGACCGATTGGTGAGTTACCGGCGGAAGAGGGAGGGGATGCTTCTCATGTGAATTGCACAATGGTCACGGTTATTACCTTAGCTTGTCCGCGAATTCCAGACCCATCCATTGACTCGCTTTCGGTGGCGTGGCAATGGTTGGCAACGGGAGGAAGGATTCGTGGAGAGATGGAAAAAAAAAAAAAAAAAAAAAAGGAAAATTTAAAATGAATAAACCAAATTTGGTCATAAGAATTTGCGCATCAATTTTGCTGCTCGCACATCGCACTCTAAAACAAGTTGCGGTACCGGATTCCAGGAAATTTAAGGTTTTTCTCAACCCATAAATATCAACAATTTACCTACCGCTTATAAGACAGACCTCACCGGTTTCCTCTTTGCACCTTTCCACGCAGAACCAGAAAAAATAGGCGTAGGCTTGCATACCACCTTTTCCCAACACGCGCTCGTCGAAGAGTTCACTGTCGGGCTCCGAGATGAATCCGGTCTTTCGAATCATGTAAGGCGGATTGGTGACGATGTAATCAAACTTGAGACGTTGAGGGGAGCGCAGTAACCACAGATTGTCGTGTTCCCATGCGCGCTCCGGTTTGAGGTACAAATTCAGGGTGTCATTGCAGAAAAGATGCAACCGGGCCAATTTAAGATCATCGGAAAGTGACAAGTGGTGGAAACGTTTGTACAAAGGTAACATGTGTATCGTGATATTAAGTTTACAGAGGTGGAACGCGAACGCATCGATTTCTATACCCCAAAGGTTTTCGGTCAACGATTGCAGAAGATTGGAGATGGCCCTTGGATCATCCCACACATTGGGACACTGCTGAGCGGCCAACGTAAGTCTATTGATAAATTCACAAAGAAAGGATCCTATGCCCATGCAAGGGTCTAACACTTTGGGAGATTGCGGGAGAGATTCCCAGGAGGACGCGTTTGAGGACGGGTGAGTTGAAAAGCTCGGAAAATTTGAGGTGGACTGAATGGAGCCTCCACCAAGTTTTTCGACCAGAGCATTGCCGAGCAAAACGCGATCCCACATGAAACGCATTACCTCTCTCGGAGTGTAAAATTGACCGTGATCTTTTTGATGTTCTTTGGCGAATACATTTAAGAAATGCTTTGTGTAAAACATTGACAAAATCGATTCGACCGTTTCTAAAGTGCTAAAGTTAACTGAAAAAGATCGAAGACGAACCGAAAGGTCATAATAATACTGTGGTTGGGGACGTACAACTCCATGATAGTACCAATTAAAAGCATCTAAATTCTCATTGTTATTATTTAATTCACTATCATTATTAGATGGTCGAGGAGGTTGGAAGAAATTGTCATCGTCGTGAAAAATGTTCATGAATCTATCAATTGACATGCGTCTCATACGCAAATCCTCTTCACGTTCACACAAAAAGTCCATGACCACGGATTCAAAAAATATTTGAACTACTGTTAGAAACGCAGTAATTTGACAATAAAAATCGAACGTATGACGATAAATTTCTGCTTCATGCGCTAGAGAATTTGCTGAATTGGGAGCAGAGAGTATGGTACGCAGATGATCCACGGTTTTTAAGGGTTGCGGTTTATTTGCAGGAAGTGGGAAGGAAGTTTCATTTACGAGTTTATTAAACTCCCTAAGGAAGCTTGCGGGAATTGAATGATCTAATAGCAAAAGTTTCAAGAAATGTAAAAACAATACCAATCGTAGGCTGCGTAGACACAGACGCATGAAAAAAAAAACATTCGTTGTACTCGAGGTTTCTTTCTTTCTCTCCCTCCTTTTTTTTTTTTTTCATTTTTTTCATTTTTTCTTTGAACCCATTGAATTCACCATCCTTTCCCTCGGGTTTCGTGTTGTTTCTCTCGAGCGTAAAAGAAAATTGTTGCATAACCTTACCTTTGTTCTGAAACACGAAGGTTCTCCGGATGTCGCCTTTGATTTCTTCCACCACGGTACCCAGAACCTCGACCACCTTGCCCACTAGATCTTCGGAGAGGACGTTCGCCGAGAAAGATGAGGTGAAACACGAATCTTGTCTCCTGGGTGGATAAGGTGATTCACCAGGTGTTAAAAGATTTCTAGCAGGATTTACAGATTTGAAAACGAATGGCGTGGCGAATGCAGCGTCGGAATTAGTTGGCGCTTTTTGTTGCGACAGAGAGGAGGGAGGTTGGAAGTAGTAATCACAAGTTTCGCTGCTAGGATCCACCTCCTGTTCGTTGAGAACTACTTTTAGCCAGTCGGTGGTTGTGTTGACATCGTCGTCTCCTTGCTTCGTACGAGCCCTCTTCGGCTGGGGCACGAGGACTTGCACGCTATCGTCGAGGCTCTTACTAGCATTTGGCATGGCGTCTAATTAAATGAATGTCCTTTGAGTTAATAAAAAGTGATAGATAGATCTCCCCGAGAGGGAGAAGGTAAGTTGTCTACTGTTGTTTTGGAAGAGGCCTAGTAAACCACCGTTTTGCGCATACTCAGGACCGTCTTCGACGGTCGTACTTTCGCGATGAAAAGGAACGGTCACCTATTTACAGACTTCCCACTCGTACTAGCCGCAGGACTAGTTGTGTTTAACGTTTTCTTGGATGAATAGGTTTGACACAAAGCGATGGCAAACTCAAATAAGGTCAGCATTGTTCGCATTTAATGCCTTTACACAAGATTTTTATATGCGATCACGTGATGGTTTCAAAGTATTATATTTTTTTTTATGTTGCCGACCCCTCAATTACCGTGTGAGGTGATAAAAAACTCGTTTGCTTACCTGTTGCCGAAGAACCTTTTTTACTTTTTTCTGCAGTCGAGTAATATAAAAACCTCAAAATAGAAGTAGCATGCGTAAGAGATCCTGTTAAGGAATTTATGATCTGTAGTATCTCTGCGGAACTGCCGGGAGCGGTAAGTTCGTTTCTCAACCTATATAAATGTTGTAAATTTTACTACATTTGAGACTAGTGAAAAGAGTTTGAAATTTCCGATTCTATATGCTCCTACCTTAATAATTTTGATCAACCAGACCGTATCACCTAGTGTGGCTTAGGAATTAGTAGTGACTGGGGGGACGAGGAAAAAAAAATTTTTTTTTTCTGGAGGGAAAATGTACCGACAGTAAGGATAGGATTCAAGTGTTGAAGGTTTTACTGTAGAAAACATAAAAACTGTCAAACAAGCTACCGAAACCTTATGTTTTATATAGCAATTGCATCGATGTTATTAATTTCCTTTTGATTAAAAAGCAGATATATTAATTTATGATTTAATTCATCTTTAAGCATATACCGAAATCACAGATTTCATAATAGAATACTGACCGAAAGTTATGACTCGGTCACCATAATTATATCATCATGAAGTTTATATCACGGTTTGAGATTTTATGGCGAGATGTAGCGCCCAAAAAAAAAAAGTTTTTTTTTTTTTTTTTTCAACGGCAGCTTAATATATATTATTCAAAAAAAAAATTTTTTTTATACAGAAAATACAATACCGACAATATTGGTGTACTTTCTTAGACCACACCTTCATAATAATGAGCAAAAAAGTGACAGATCGACCACAACGGTTACAAACGAAATGGAGCAACAGGATGGTGTACCATTAAGAAAAAAAATTTTTTTCTCAATAGTAAAATCTCCGAAGGTAACAAGCTGCAGGAGGGATGGGATTTGTTATATTGCAGGATAGACCAATCGTGCCAAACCATACATATTTATACCACATGTTTCAAATCGTGTATACGATGTGTGTGTGATATATTGATTTATTTAGTTTACATGTCCTCTCTCTTTTTTTTTTTTTTTCTTAATAATAATATAATAATAATAAAATCCAATCGTCAACATGCATACACATATGCAATTATTGTAATTATTACAGTTGATATACATTATCGACTATTTTTAATAAATAATATGATAATAATAATAATAAAAAACATATATTATATTACATACAACAAAAAATAAATAAAATAATATGTGAACCATTTTTTTTATTGGTATTTCATGTTAATGGTATGACCCAAAGATTTGGTCCATGGCATTTGACAACGTTACGATGCGACGATGGTTAACTGGTCAATCATTGTTCCCTTCGGCGATCGTGAAAAACCAAATTTAAAAAAAAAAAAGCCTAAAAAATAGAAAATTTTGGAAAAAATCACAATAGTCTAGAGATTCACTACTTCATTAGAGGAACAAACTATTCCTATATATTAGACTAGATCATTCGACAATTATTATGACGTTAACATTACCCATGATCAAGCATTTATAACTATTTTTATATACAAAAAATCTAATAATAGGTGTTAAGATGGTAAATTAAAATGTAGAGTTTTAATATCCTTGCAAATACACTAAAATCTAAGTGTAGATGGATATGTATAGCTTAAATTCATATTTATGATATTATCACCTATATATATACAGTATATAAACTATATGTATAGCTTAATTACACACAGTCAGGTTGGTTTTTTAAAATTGATAAAAAAATTTTATTATATCAGGAATAAATTTGCTTTTAATGGAATTCAAAAAAAAGCAAACCTAATAAACAGGTATTTGTTATACAAAAATTTAATAAATTGCGAAAGGAACCTCCCCCTTGGAACGGAAATATGAAATATGCGTGCTATAATTTTATTTCTTAAACTCAATTAACTCAATTCTAAAATCTACTACTACAAATATCGATACAATGGAATTTTTAGATTATAGCTTTAAAAAGTAACTGCATAAAGTATATTATGTACATATCCTTGTGTAAAAAAAAGGAAATAAAACCCAATGTTTTTATGCAGCTTTGCTTCATATGATCCCAACGTTACATTACAAGTAATGCAAGGAAAAATCACATGATGTTAAACAGCAAAGAACTTTTTATTATTGCATTGTAAAAATCATTTTTCAAAAAGTTCGATTATCTTTGTGGGGTGCTTTCATGCACTGCAGAATGACGCTTCCTCATCATATTATTCCATGTAGACGTCCAGCCTCACGGTCCCTTCCATTTCGACTTCCCATTTCGCGATCTTCCAATCCTCCTCGTCCTTGAGGGTGATCATGTCATTCACTTTGTTTTTATAGAAGAAACTGTTGCATTGTAATCCAAATCGTTGCCGAATATAATCGTGAAATTGATTAAAGGAACCTTCACGGGGAAAGACGATCGCGCGTTTTTCGGTGAGAAACACGCAGGTGACGTAAAACTACAGACATATATAGAAAGACAGGTACAATCATGGAAACCACGAACATTGTGACGGCACGATTCAACAATTATGTTAGATCATACATTCATTTACCTCCACATGGTGCGACCTCTCAAAGGGAGCTGAATCCATGCCCATGCCCATGCCCACGTCCATGTCCATGATATGTGGCTGCAATATTGAATCACCACGATCTACTACTACTCCCTGGGATGGAGGTTTTTCTTGCGGTAGCTTTTGCGTTACAAATAAATTACGCCAATAATTTATTATGCACCCCGAAAAAAGAAATGAAATTCGAAAATCAACACAAACCGGAACTTTTGAAGTGTTTTCTGTGACCTCGTCGTTCGTCAAATCAAAGCTCAACCTTTGTACCCCGGCCTCGATCATCAAGAGTGTGTTATTCTCCACCCAATGCATCGGTTTGCATATAACGCAGGTGGCATTGTCGAGTTTCCCGTTGGTAGGATCAACAGCCAATGGGATTGCCGAATGATCGTTGTTCGATCCTCTCGGATAATGAAAGTACTTTTTTTTTTTTCGAAACAAA